CCCATGGCAACCAAATTCTCGGGAATACTGAACTCTGACGTTGACTGAGATTAAAAAAAGACAGCCCTGGAGGTGAGCAGCTTTGAAGATGGAGACTTAGACTCTTGTTAACAGACTTGTATACAGTCTAATGTATAGACTACTCATTTATTTCTTTTGAGGAGCTCAAAGGGCTTATGAGCATTCCTCAACAGGCGCAGACCTGCCCGTGGACTTGGAAAATGGGGCACCACACGGTTATCTTCCAAGTGCAGCATGGAAGCTGAACTCTGAGAAGTAAGGCAGCCAGAGCTAGGCCTCCTTTACATCTTAGGGCTCTGGGCCTGGAAGGGTTTGTGTCCTGGCTCATTTGCGTGGTTCTGTGATGGAGGTTTGGGAGGGATGGCTAGAATGAAGGCAGGGAACACTCATGGATCTTTCTGCAGCTCACTCAGCTTTGTTTGTTCCCTTAATGAAGCAGGAGGGAAGTTTTCATTCTCGTTACGAGCGTCTCAGTAGGCCTGGGAATAAATATCGAGAGTCAAGGGTTTTTATTCCAGTAATGAATGGAAGAATCCCTGAATGATGACGTTCTCCACGTCACTCTGGTGGGTCTCCCTGGACTCAGACGGCTCCTTCTCAGTGGCCTTTTCTGAGTCCTCATCCTCTTCCCACCACCTGGGGACTAGGATTCCCAAGAGCAGCACGCCTGTTTGCTCCCCACCTGGCGTCGTCTGCCTCTTGGCCGTGACCACAGCCAGCACTCACTCACGGGTGTTGCCCAGATGCCAGTGTCTGTCACTGGACCCGTCTCTTTCTCCAGTTATTTCTCTGACTCCAGTTCTTTCCAGAGTCTGAGATTTCACAATGCCCTCCACGCACTTAGGGGCACAGTGACTGCTGCATAAATGTGGTTCATTTATAGAGAGACCTTCATATCAACATGTCCCAAACCAGATGACGAACCCACCCACCCCTCCTCTCCAACGGTACTCTTCGGAATCCCTCTTCTATTTGGCGGCATCCATTTCCATTTAGAGACTTAACTGGAAGCCCTCGAGAATTCTCCCTTCTCCCCACCCCACACTCGCCCTGGCCTCCCCACCCTCCAACTCACCTCCCAAACTTGCCTTTGTCTAGGCTTTCATTGTCTCACATTTGGCTGTTGCTAGCCTCCGTGTCTCCCTTCCCCATCCCTCTACCACCTCCAGAGGGGTCTCTTCAAACTACAGTCTGATAATGGCAGTCTCTTAACCTTTTTGGGGGGGGGGGGTGGGGCACATGTTGTAGCATGCAGGAGCTTAGTTCACTGACCAGGGATCAAACCCGTGCCCCTGCAGTGGAAGCACAATTCTTAACCACTGGACCATCAGGGAAGTGCCTAGACCCTTAACTCTGAAACCCCTTCCTGAGTCCATCTTTGTATCTAAGGTCAGGCTCAGAGTCCTTAGCCTGCCCTTCAGCGTGACCCTAGTCAATCCACTTCCTTTGAATTCCCACCACTGTGCCGTTAGAAGGTGCTTCAGATTTTATTCTACAAGTTAGTGAATATGGAGGCCAACAGATTCGGTGCCCTCATCTTTAGGTCTGTCAGCCCAAAGACAACAACTTTGATTGTTTATTGCAAATTTGTTCATTTAGCCAAGGGGTCTGATATATGTGTTAGGTCAGAATATGCTGGTGGACAAAGAGTGACCAGGATCACTGCCCTCCTGGGGTGTGAGTCTCCCTACCACGGAACTCACCGTAAACAGTGAATAATTTATATACCGTGTTAGAATAAATTGTATAGTATTCAATATGTTAGAAGGTGAGAAGTGCTGAATAAAGAAAAGGATAAAAGAGAAGGAAGGAAGAAATAGAAGGAGGAAGGGTAAGGAAAGAATGGGGAAAGGGAATGCTATTAGACGATAAAAAGCATTTTGCGAGGAGGCCTCACTGAGAAAATGAGATTGTCATTTGAACCAGGTCTTCATTATTAGGCCCTGGGTTCTGGATCTTACTTTTAATTGCCGTCCTGTCCCTCACCTTGGGAGTCAGGGAATTGAACCTGAGCGGACTATAAAGTACAATGACAATAATACCTGCTGTTTGTTGTGAGTTTCCTCTGTGATAGGCATGAGGCTGAGTCATTTGCAGGGTCTTCTTGTCTGTCATCTTCACAACAGTCTTCTGAAAGTGACACCCTCATCCCTACTGAGCAGATGAAGGACCAGAAGGCTAGAGACATTAAAGCACTTGCCCAAGACGAGGAGCTAGACAGACAGTAGAAGAGCTGGGATGTGAGCCCACAATTAGCCATTTTGCCTCCAGCTGATGAATGAAGAAGGTTGAGGAGCAGCCACTGCTTTGGATGTTTCTAGAAACCAGTAGATTAAAGAGCCAAAATCGTCCATTTTCATAGAAAACAGCTCAGTATCAATATGTGAGAGGGGGGCGCAGAGGCACTAAATTCCTGCCCCCCACCCCTTTCAGCATTTGATTGGTTGCAGACAGGTGGTCCTCAGTTTATAGACATTCTTTGAAAATAAGCCCAGTATCTTACAGGCTTTTATTGCCAAACCAATACCTCCTTAATATTCACCCTCTGTCTCCTCATCCAGTTTTATCTCACTGGAGCCTCAGTGAAGCTAGAACTCACCTTTCTCCATCAGCCTTACACTCTTTCTTGCATAGACTTGAAGAACTAACCGTCACGTCTCCCAAATTGGTCTCGGCCCTGTGTTCTGTAGCTGTTATCTAGACACTGGAATAACCAGCTCTTTCAAGATGAAATCCTGGGTGTTTGCAGATCAATAGCCCTGTGATGTATGTGCTGAATACTTAGCAAGCCTGACTAACCGCTCATAAAAGAGCAAAGCGTGAGTCAGAGAACCCCACCAAAAATAATGCATTTGGCTGAATCTTGGCTTGGTGTGGATTCAGGCCTTTGAGTCATAAAGCTCATTAGAAATGGGGATGTCCTTGACTCTAATAAAGATTTTAGTGCAGCCCAGATTTAGAGTGGTATATTTAGGGGAGGTCACAGGATGAATTTTTGGAGTAGAGGCAATGACGGAAGGAGAGAGTCATAGTCTTGAAATGACAAGCTTTATTGTTTCTCTGTCTCCACCATCTGCCGTCAAGAGAAATGCCTGATTTAGGAACATTCTCTTTACTTATTAGAAAATGAAGGCTTTCCTGATTTGAACAGGAGAAGGGGTTCATTGAATCTTCCCTGGTAGCTCAGATGGCAAAGAATCTGCCCGCAATGCAGGAGACCCAGGTTCGATCCCTGGGTCGGGAAGATCCCCTGGAGTAGGAAATGGCAACCCGCTTCAGTATGCTTGCCTGGAGAATTCCGTAGACAGAGGAGCCTGGTGAGCTACAGTCCATGGAGTCACAAAGAGCCAGACATGACTGAGCAACTAACACACACACACAGGATTTATTGGGCTTCCCAGGTGGCGCTAGTGGTAAAGAACCCACCTACCAATGCAAGAGACATAAAAGACACAGGAGTCAGAAAGATCCCCTAGAGGAGAGTATGACAACCCATTTCAGTATTCTTGCCTGGAGAATCTCATGGACAGAGGAGCCTAGTGGGCTACAGTCCATGAGGTTGCAAAGAGTCAGACATGACTGAGCAACTTAGCATGCATGCATGCAGGGATTTATTACAAGTGATTTCTTGGCGCGTGCTTCAAGCTTGCCTTGGAGCCCTCCCAGGGCTTCCTCGGGTCCCTGTCTTTGGCTGCTCTGATTTTAACAAAGCTGCTACTTGTCCCAGCTGGGATGTGTGAAAAACCAGTGCTCCATCTTCACCCTAACACCCTGGTCCGCCCCCACCCCCTCCACCTCTCCCCCCACCCCCAACCCAGCTGGATTCAGAGAAGCAGCTGGGGCAGCAGAGGGAGCTAGGGAAAACAATGAAGACTTGGCCTTGGGAAAAGTTGGCCTCCCATCTCTTGAGCAAATTTCAGGAAGAGAAGGGAAGCTAACCTTTAGTACAGTACTGGTTCCAGGAACCCCGCCATTACCAAAATCCAAGAATGTTCGAGTCCTTTATATAAAATGGCATATAATCTGCATGCATCCTTCTGTATACTTTAAATCATCTCTAGATTACTTACAATGCCTGTCACTATAAATGCTATGTAAATAGTTGATGTGTGTCATTGTGCTCAGTCACTCAGTCGTGTCTGACTCTGTGAACCTATGGACAGACTGTAGCCCACCAGGCTCCTCTGTCCATGGGATTCTCCAGGCAGGAATACTGGAGTGGATTGCCACTTCCTCCTCCAGGGGATCTTCCCCGGCCCAGGGATCAAACTCTTGTCTCCTGAGTCTCCTGCAATGCAGGGGGATCCTTTACCACTGAGCCACCAAATAGTTGATGGCGGGTGGCAAATTGAAAGTTCTGCTTTTTGAAACTTTCTGGAAGGTTTTTTTTTTTTCCCCTAAATATTTTCAATCTGCCATTGATTGAGTCTGCAGGCCCAGAAGCCACCAATGCAGAGGGCCGATGGTACCGTGTTTCAGGTTCCACATTAGATTTTTTATACCCGTGATTGTAGTTAATGTTCATAATCAGTTGGAAGGAAAAGGAAACATATCCCAATTTTGGCTCTCAGGTGTCACTAGTGGTAAAAAAAAAACATGCCTGCCAATGCAGGAGACATAAGAGACTCAGGTTCAGTCCCTGGGTCAGGAAGATCCTCTGGAGGAAGAAATAGCAACCACTCCAGTATTCTTGCTGGGAAATCCCATGGACAGAGAAGCCTAGCGGCTACAGTCGATGGGGTTGCAGAGAGTTGGACATGACTAACGTGACTTAGCACGCATGCACCCAGATTTTACACAAGATGCTCTGAGGCTCAGTGAGCTTCAGTCCACCCCAGTAGGAAGGGGCAGATGCGAAATCTTACCACTATAGCCTGCTTGTTGTAAATAAGAGTAGTGAGTGACTTTTTTGGAAAAAAATCCCCCCTCTCTCCGAGACTCTGCCCTTTCTTAACCTGCAGCTTGCTCTGTGTCCCCAGGCAGTTTGGCGGTTATGCCAAGGCAGCTGACTACGCTGCCCAAGCCGCCCAGCTGCGCTCAGCCCTGGAGGGCACAGCCACATACCAGACGGACTTCTACTTCTGCACCGGCTATGACCCTCCCATGAAGCCCTACGGACGTCGCAACGAGGTCTGGCTGGTAAAGAGCAGTGAATGAGTCATTGGCTGAACCCGAGCTCCCCGGGTGCCTGCATCTGTGCCCACCTCCCCTGGGAGGAAGCAGTGCCCCTGTGCCGGTCCAGCAGAACCAACTTCCCTTCAGAGCCAGTCACTGCCAATTTCCTGAGATAAGCACCGTCCAGATGCTGAGGCTCTGTTTCTCTTGGTGGGAAATAATGTACCCACAATACACATGCGTCCTTCTAATTGACTTATAGACAATTCAGTGGTAGGCCAGAAAAACCCAGCAGCATTTTTCCAGCTCTCTGGATCCCCTAAAAACAGATTTTTAAAATCATGAAAACTGTATTTTTGTTAATCCACGAAGAAGTGTGATTTACGTGTGATCTTTCCTATGTAATTCTTAAAAGAGCTTTCTTTAAAAAGAAACCAAAAATAAAGATCTTTGACTTAAAACAGCTGAAACAAATCCTGTTGTTGTTTAGTCACTTTTCTCTTCTCTCCCCCAAAACCCCAAACAGTGGAGCATCATCAGATGACGAAGGGAGGACTTTTCAGTCTCCTGTTCCATGGTGAGGACACAGATAATGGGATGGTGTCAAACAGTGAATTAAGAAAAGATAGGGACAGGAACCAAGGAAATATTAGTAGGTTGTGTATCTTCATTCTGGATTAAATAGTGAAAAATAGGACAGAGACCAAGGTGGCTGACTGTCAATCTATGGACTATTAAAGCAATCTTTTTTCCCAACTTCAACCCACTTTCTTGTCCGCATATTTCCCAAAATAGAGGTTGATGAGAAGACCTTGCTCATCCCTCTCCTCCTCTTACTAGGGCCTAGAGTAGAACATATGGCCAATATTTTAGATTTAGATTGTTGTATGATTAAGTTGGAAAACAGTAGACAGTAGAGATATTAGCAAATATTCAAACTGTGCTCTAGATGTAATGCTGGGTGGGGTTCACAGCCTTAAGACTGCAGGCTCTCTGGAGCTGCACATAAAAAGATGCTCTGCATTCCACCACAAACCGTCTTCCCATGCCATTAATATTCTTATATGCAACTCAACAACAAAGAACGAACAACCCAGTTGAAAAATGGATGGAAGACCTATAGACATTTCTCCAAAGAAGAAATACAGATGGCCAATAGGCACATGAGAAGATGTCCAACATCACTAATTATTAGAGAAATGCAAGTCAAAACTACAATGAGGAACCACCTCACACAGGTCAGAATGGCCATCATAAAAAGTCTATAAATAACAAAGGCCAGAGAGGGTGTGGAGAAAAGGGAACCCTCCTACGCTGTTGGGAATGTAAGTTTGTGCACCCACCATGGAGAACAGTAAGGAGGTTGCTCAGAAAGCTAAAAATAGAATTATCGTATGATCCAGCAATCCCTCTCCTTGGCATATATCCAGATAAAACTAAAATTTAATAACCCTTATGTTCATAGCAGCACTGTTTACAAAAGCTAAAACACAGGAACAACCTGAATGTCCATCAATAGATGAATGGGTAAACAAGATGTGGTAAGCTTCCTTGGTGGCTCAGTGGTAGAGAATCCGCCTGCCAGTGCAGGAGACACGGGCTTGATCCCCAGTCCAGGAAGATCCCACATGCTGCAGAGCAGCTAAGCCTGTGAGCCACAACTATTGAGCCAGTGCTCTGAAGTCCAGAAGACACAACTATTGAGCCTATGTGCTGCAACTACTGAAGCCCTCATCCTAGAGCATGTGCTGCACAAGAGAAGCTGCTGCAATGAGAAGCCCAAGGACCACAACTAGAGAGTGGCCCCTCTCACCACAACTAGGAAAAAGCCTGTACAACAATGAAGAACCAGCACAGCCAAAAATAAATAAATGACATTATTGTTTAGAAACTCCAAAACTTGTATTTTTAAAAAAATGTGATGTGTATATATATATATATATATGTATACACATATATATACAGTGGAATATTAGCCATAAAAAATGAAACAATGCCATTTGCACCAACATGGGTGCAACTAGAGATTATCATACTAAGTGAAGTAAATAAAAAAGAAAGACAAATACCGTATGGTATCACTTATATATGGCATATAAAATATAACACGAGCCTATCTATGAAACAAGCGATCACTAACAGAACGGACCGGTGGTTGCCAAGGAGGAGAAGGTTGAGGGGGGAATGGGGTGGGAAGTTTGAGGTTAACAGATATAAGCTATAGAGTGGATAAACAACAGGGTCCTAATGTATAACACAGAACAATGTTCAATATCCTATGATAAGCCATAATGGAAATGAATATTTTTTAAAGTATATATTTACATATGTATACATATATATGTTGCAAAAGGAAATGGCAACCCACTCCAGTGTTCTTGCCTGGAGAATTCCATGGACGGAGGAGCCTGGTGGGCTGTGGTTCACGGGGTTGCAAAGAGTCGGACACAGCTGAGTGACTAACACACACACACACACACACATATGTATAAATGAATAACCTTCTGTACAGCAGAAATGAACATTTCTGTAAATCAACTATACTTCAATAAAAAATATTGATTAAAAAAATAAAACATCCCTCAAGAAAAAAATTATCCTTGTATGTTTTGTGATCATACCCAATAAACTTTGTCCTGTATATACCACAACATAATTCTACACTCTCCTGCTTACACAAATGCTTAAGGGGCCATCGGGTGATTGTCTATACCGTGCAATGCTTGGCTGAGCTCAGGGTCATCACCTTTTTAAGACCTCCTTCATTTACATTTGGCTTCTCCACTCCTGAGTAATGTTACTTTGATCTTGAGCACTGTAATTAAAGCTTCATAGCATGCCACACAGATGGGTATTTATTTGGTTGAATGCCATAGGTTTTGCCTTCCAATTTATATCTTTGACAAGCTCTAGGTTTTCCTTTAAAGTATTTGGTTTCTATAGCAACCATAATTCTCTAGGAATAAGAAGATAGACTGAAACAATATCTATACATGCAGAATTGTTGCAGGAAGGGGGACCCTTTCCAGGGCCCAAAACTGGGCTCTTGTCTAACACTCAGAAATGAATTGTCCGAGGAGACACATGTGCTGACAAAGCAAGAGATTTTATTGGGAAAGGGCGCCCGGGTGGAGAGCAGTAGGGTAAGGGAACCCAGGAGAACTGCTCTGCCCCGTGGCTCACAGTCTCGGGTTTTATGGTGGTGGGATTAGTTTCCGGGTGGTCTTTGACCAATCATTCTAATTCAGTCTTTCCTGGTGGCACACTCATCGCTCAGCCAAGATGGATGCTAGCGAGAGGGATTCTGGGAAGTGGACAGACATGCGGTGTCTCCTTTTGACCTTTCCCGAACTCTTCCGGTTGGTGGTGGCTTATTAGTTCCATATTCCTTACCAGGATCTCCTGTCATAAAACTCATGCAAATGGTTACTATGGTGCCTGGCCAAGGTGGGTGGTTTCAATCAGTGTGCTTCCCCTAACAGAATCAGAAACCAATCCATGTAAGGTGGAAAATGGCCAGGGTAGGCTGAAAGTGTGGGCTGCATAGAGTCATCTCATAGTCAAACATGGAGTAAAGTCTGAATCACCTTTTCTTGACAATGAATTATCAGTCGCTTCAGTCATGTCCGACTCTGTGATCCCGTGTACTGTAGCCTGCCAGGCTCCTCTGTCAATGGAATTCTCCAAGGAAGAATACTGGAGTGGGTTGCCATGCCCTCCAGGGGATCTTCCTGACCCAGGGATCAAACCTGTGTCTTTTATATCTCCTTCATTGGCAGGCAGGTTCTTTCCAACTAGAGTCACCTGGGAAGCCCAGAACTTCATCAAAAAGTCACTTTATGTGCTGGCTCAAACACAGCCTTTTCTCACATCACGCCTCTTCCTCTCTCCTGGGTTCCCTTCCCTCCAGCAGAACCAGAATAAATGCTGGTTCCCCTGCAATGTCCCCCACTTTCATGCTCCATGACTTTGCTTACCTTGCCTCCCACACCTAGAATCCACCCCCCACCTCCCTATCCATCTCTACCCATCTCTCAAGTCCCAGCTCAAGAGTCTTTGAATCTGTTAGAATAGGAAAAAGTTCAGAATGGCAGTGGCTAAAAGACAAGGAAGGGAAAAACCCTCAAAAATAGAACAAAGAAGGGTCCAAGGACCAGAGTGAGGACCTCAGGTAAAACAAACAGCTCTCTGGGCTAGCCTAATTTACATAGGGCAGGCCCTGGGTGGGGGGAGAGGGGGTGGGAGAAAAAACATATAAAAAGAGGAGCCAAAGGGCTGGGGGTCTGTCTGTCTGTCTGTCTGTCTGTCTCTCTCTCTCTCTCTCTCTCTCTCTCTCTCCCTCTCCCTCCCCCCTCCCCCTCTGCCATCTAGTAGGATCAGACTACAGCCTCCCACTACGGAGAGCCCTGAGCACACTCAGGATGTGAAAACACTGGATGCTGGCCCCAGATAGCTGAGGTGCATATCAAATAAATGATTTTAGTGAGCCCAGGCTCTTGCATCTTTCCATACAAAGAACAGTGCTAAATTCCTTAACTTATTTTCCTTTTAATTCACAATAATGTCTTGATTACCTGCTCTTGGTTCAGACTACCAGCCCTTTGATGCAAAACTTTTGTGTAACCTGGCTCCTCTGCCTCCTCAGAGCAGTTCTCTCAGGGTTACTTGAGATACTGCCTCCTGGGTTTGAAGTCCTAAAAATTCCTGCTGAATAAAACATAACTCAACGTTTAGGTTGTGAATACTTTATAAGTCTACAAGGGTATGTGTACAATAGATGCTCAGTCTTATTAATGTAGATCAGCTGAATTTTTAAAGATAAGAGTTGTTGATCGCTAACATTTATTAAGCATTCACCACGTTCCAGGCACTACGCAAACTTGTTACATGAATTCCCTTTTTATTAGACCCCACAATCCTATGAGGGAGTCACAGGCAATACCCCATTTACAGATAAACTAGGGCAGCCCAGAGAGGTTCATTAACATTCTCTAGGCTACACAGATGATACCCAACAGAGCCAGAATTTGAACTTAGGCAGT